CCGCCAGCGCCCGGGGGCGGGGGGGGGGGGGTGACACTGGGGGGCTCAGGTGGCGCTGGGGACCCCCCAAACCCCGGGGAAGCCTCGAGCCCACCCGGGGGGGGCAGGAGTGAGGGGGGGTCCCGGCATTTGGGGGCTCCCATCCCCCCCTCCCCCTCTGGCTCGGGACCCCCGGCGCCCCCTCGGCGGCCCCCGGCTGGAATGGGGACACGGGGAGGGGACAGCGGGGACAGCGACAGCGACAGGACAGGGGGCGGGGACAGCGACAGACCCCCCAGATTTTGGGACCCCCTCGTTTTTGGACTCCCCCCCGCCAGATTTTGGGACACCCCATCCCATATTTTGTGTCCCCCCGTATTTTGGGACACCCCAAATTTTGGGACCCCCTGGCTTTTGGGACCCCTCCCCGGATTTTGGGACCCCCTCCGATTTTGGGACACCCCAAATTTTGTCCCCCCCCAGGCCGAGCGCCGGCGGGATCTGGAGGCGGAGCTTCGTGACCTCAGCAGCCAGGTGGGCGGGGTTTGGGGAGGGGCGGGGCCAGCACCTGTCAGTCACAGCCTGGCCCCTTCTCTCCCTGAGGGGGGTGGGGCATGTGGCTGTCAATCACCCAAGTGGGCGGGGCCTGGCGCCATCGCTCGTTGTGTGGGCGGAGCTTGCAGCTGTCCATCATTTGGGGCTGTCAATCACGCCCCTGCCCAATCAGGTGGCGGCACTGGGGCGGAGCCTGGCGGCCGAACGTGGGCGGAGCCTGATCGAGGGCGGGGCTCTGCGGGCGCTGGAGATCGCGGTGGGCGGAGCCCAGGCCCGGGTGGGCGGAGCCTGCCGGGCCCTGGACCGGGCCAAGGAGCGGCTGCGGCTGCAGCAGGTGGGCGGGGCCAGGGCTGAGGGGGCGGAGCCTCTGGGGTGGGGAAGGGGTGTGGCCTGTGAGGGAGGCGGGGCTTATCGGGCAGAGTTTGGGGAGGGGCGGGGCCACGTGGGGAGGGGCCCGAGGGGGTGGAGCCACGGAATGGGCGGGGCCCTGATGGGCTGAAGGGGGCGTGGTTTGTCTAAGAAGGGCGTGGTCTGGGCTGTGTAGCTGACAATGAATTGAGGGCCTGTGTGTGGGCGTGGCCTGTGGCTGACCCCGCCCCCCTGCAGGAGGCGGGGCAGGTGCTGTGGGCGGAGCTGGAGGCCGCGCGCGCTGCCAAGGCGGGGGCGGAGCTCCGGGCTCAGGAGGCGGAGTCTCAGTGCCACGCCCGGGGGGCGGAGCTGGAGCGGCTGCGACAGGTGGGCGGGGCTAAGGCCCAATGGGCGGGGCTACAACCGGTGGGTGGGGCTAAGGTCCAGTGGGAGGGGTTATTGTGGCTGGGGCGGGGCTAAAGACAATGGGTGGGGCTAAGGGCAATGGGAGGGGCTATTGCAGATGGGGCGGGGCTAACGGCAATGGGCAGGGCTTCATCAGCTTGTGGGCGGTTAAGGGCAATGGGGTGGGGCTATTGCTGCTGGGGGTGGGGTTATGGAATAATGGGCCGGGCGAAAGCACCCGGTGGGCGTGGCTCGGGCTGTGGGCGTGTCCAATCTGGCCCCGCCCACAGGCGGTGCAGGCGGCCCAGCATTCCCGGCGGCGGGCGGAGCAGGAGCGCGACCAGGTGGCGGCCGAGGTTGGCCACGCCCCCCCGGCCAGGTGAGCTCGGCCACGCCCCCTGCCAGGCCACGGTCCCGGGGTGTCCCCTATAGCCCCTACGTGTCCCTATAACCCCCCGTGTGTCCCCAAGGAGCGCGACCAGGTGGCGGCCGAGGTTGGCCACGCCCCCCCGGCCAGGTGAGCTCGGCCACGCCCCCTGCCAGGCCACGGTCCCGGGGTGTCCCCTATAGTCCCAGTGTCCCCTATAGCCCATACGTGTCCCTATAACCCCCCCGTGTGTCCCCACATGTCCTCACATGTCCCCACATGTCCCCTATGTGTCCCTGTGTCCTCATATGTCCCCCACATGTCCCCGTGTGTCCCCTCTCTGTCCCCCATGTCTCCTCTCTGTCCCCTCTCTGTCCCCCATGTCCCTTGTCTGTCCCCTGTCCGTCTGTCTGTCACCTCTCTGTCCCCTCACTGTCCCCTCACTGTCCCCTCACTGTCCCCTGTCTGTCCCCTTCTGTCCCCATGTGTCACCCCTCTGTCCACCCTCTGTCCCCCCGTGTCCGTCTGTCTGGAGGAGCTGCGGGAGCACAACCGGGAGCTGCGGGAGCGGCTGGGGCAGCGCCTGCGACAGGTGGGGACATGGGGACACCTGGGGACACCTGGGGACACCCGGGGGGACACGGGGACACACCCATGGGACCGGCTGGGGCAGCGCCTGCGACAGGTGGGGACATGGGGCCACCTGGGGACACCTGGGGACAGCTGGGGGGACACGGGGGGACACCTGGGGACAGCTGGGGACACCCGGGGGGACACCTGGGGACACGGGGGGACACGGGGACACACCCGTGGGAGCGGCTGGGGCAGCGCCTGCGACAGGTGGGGACACCTGGGGACATGGGGACACCTGGGGACACCTGGGGACACCTGGGGGGACACGGGGACACACCCACAGGAGCGGATGGGGCAGGGCCTGCGACAGGTGGGGACACCTGGGGACACCTGGGGCAGCTGGGGACACCTGGGGACACCGGGGGGACACGGGGACAAGTGTGGATGCACCTGTGGGTGCCCTGGTTCACAGGTGTGGGCACAGGTGTGGGTGCCATGAGTTCACCTGTGGGTGCCCTGGGTGCTCTGGGCACAGGTGTGGGTGCTCTGGGTGCTGTGGGTGCTGTGGGTGCCCCGGGCACGGGTGTGGGTGCCGTGGGCACGGGTGTGGGTACAATGGGTGCTGTGGGTACAATGGGTGCTGTGGGTGCCGTGGGTGCTGTGGGTGCCATGGGTGCCCCGGGCACAGGTGTGGGTGCCATGGGCACGGGTGTGGGTACAATGGGTGCTGTGGGTGCCGTGGGTGCCCTGTGTGACCCTGACTCACCTGCGCAGGTGGAGGAGCTGCGGCAGGCGCTGGCGGTTATGGGCACAGGTGTGGGTGCTGTGGGTGCTCTGACACCAGGTGTGGGTGCTGTGGGTGCTGTGGGTGCTGTGGGTGCCATGGGTTCCATGGGTGCCCTGGGTGCCCTGGCACAGGTGTGGGTGCCCCGGCACAGGTTGGCACAGCTTTGCCCCCTCTCCCTGCGCAGGTGGAGGAGCTGCGGCGGGCGCTGGTTGTTATGGGCACAGGTGTGGGTGCCATGGGTGCCCCGGGCACGGGTGTGGGTGCCATGGGCACGGGTGTGGGTACAGTGGGTGCTGTGGGTGCTGTGGGTGCTGTGGGTGCTGTGGGTGCCGTGGGTGCCCTGGCACAGGTTGGCACAGCTCTGCCCCCTCTCCCTGCGCAGGTAGAGGAGCTGCGGCGGGCGCTGGCGGTTATGGGCACAGCTGTGGGTGCTGTGGATGCTGTGGGTGCTGTGGGTGCCCTGGCACAGGTGTGGGTGCCGTGGATGCCGTGGGTGCTGTGGGTGCCCTGGCACAGCTCTGCCCCCTCTCCCTGCGCAGGTGGAGGAGCTGCGGCGGGCACTGGCGGTTATGGGCCCAGGGCGGCGCCTGCGGCTGCTGGCGGCTGAGGCCGAGGAGCAGCGGCTGCGGGGGGAGCGGCACCGGCTGCAGGTGGGGCTGCACCTGGCTCTGCGTCACTGGGTCACCTACTGTCACCTAATGTCACCTACTGTCACCTACTGTCATCTGTGTCACTGTGTCACTGTGTCACTGTGTCACTGTGTCATCTGTCACCCGTGTCACCTGGCACGTGGCACGTGTCACCTGTGTCACCTGAGTCACTGTGTCACCTACATGTCACCTCTGTCCCCTACTGCCATCTACTATCACCTCTGTCACCTGTGTCACCTGCGTGTCACCTCTGTCACCTCTGTTATCTGGGTGTCGTCTCTGTCACCTTCTGTCACCTCCTGCTGCCCGCTGTCACCTGCTGTCCCCCACAGCCTCTGTGTCCCCACGTGTCCTCCCTGTGCCCCACGTCCCAGTGTCCCCGATGTCCCTGATGTCCCAAATCCCCCCACAATGTCCCCGATGTCCCCGATGTCCCCGATGTCCCCGATGTCCCCGATGTCCCCAATGTCCCCGATGTCCCCGATGTCCCCAATGTCCCCAATGTCCCCGATGTCCCTGATGTCCCCGATGTCCCCGATGTCCCCAGTGTCCCAAATCTCCCAACATCCCTGACGTCCCCAATCCCCCCAATGTCTCTGATGTCCCCAGTGTCCCCAATCCTCCCAGTGTCCCCCGTGTCCCCAGTCCCCTGCTGTCCCCGATGTCCCCAAATGTCCCCGATGTCCCCGATGTCCCCAGTGTCCCAAATCTCCCAACATCCCTGACGTCCCCAATCCCCCCAATGTCTCTGATGTCCCCAGTGTCCCCAATCCTCCCAGTGTCCCCAGTGTCCCCCGTGTCCCCAGTGCCCTGCTGTCCCCGATGTCCCCAAGGCCCCCAAGGTCCCTGCTGTCCCCAATGTCCTCTCAGTGTCCCCAGTGTCCCCAATCCCCCCAATGTCCCCAGGGTCCCCGCTATCCCCATTACTGTTCCCACTGTCCCCAGGTCCCCATGATGTCCCCGTTGCTGTCCCTGTGTCCCCGTTGGTGTCCCCATGTCCCCGTTGGTGTCCCTGTGTCCCCGTTGGTGTCCCCAATGTCCCCAATGTCCCCAGGCGGGTGCCACCGAGGCGGCGGGCCGGCTGCTGGCCCAGCAGGTGGCCACGGTGGCCGCAGGCTGGCTGCTGTCCCCATGTCCCCATTGGTGTCCCCATGTCCCCATGATGTCCCCAGTGTCCCCAGGCGGGCACGGTGGAGGCGGCGGGCCGGCTGCTGGCCCAGCAGGTGGCCGCGGTGGCCGTGGGCTGGCTCCTGTCCCCATGTCCCCATTGGTGTCCCCACTGGTGTCCCCAGTGTCCCCATGTCCCCATTGGTGTCCCCATGTCCCCATGATGTCCCCAATGTCCCCAGGCAGGCGCGGCCGAGGCGGCGGCCCGGCTGCTGGCCCTGTGTCCCCATTGGTGTCCCCAATGTCCCCAATGTCCCCAGGCGGGCACGGCGGAGGTGGCGGGCCGGCTGCTGTCCCTGTGTCCCCGCTGGTGTCCCCATGTCCCCATGATGTCCCCAATGTCCCCAATGTCCCCAATGTCCCCATGATGTCCCCATGTCCCCATGATGTCCCCAATGTCCCCAGGCGGGCACGGCGGAGGTGGCGGGCCGGCTGCTGTCCCCGTGTCCCCGCTGGTGTCCCCATGTCCCCAATGTCCCCATGATGTCCCCATGTCCCCATGATGTCCCCAATGTCCCCATGATGTCCCCGTGTCCCCAGGCGGGTGCCGCCGAGGCGGCGGGCCGGCTGCTGGCCCCAATGTCCCCATGATGTCCCCATGTCCCCGTTGGTGTTCCCAATGTCCCCAATGTCCCCATGTCCCCAATGTCCCCAGGCGGGTGCCACCGAGGCGGCGGGCCGGCTGCTGGCCCTGTGTCCCCGTTGGTGTCCCCATGTCCCCATTGGTGTCCCCGTGTCCCCATGTCCCCATTGGTGTCCCCATGTCCCCATGATGTCCCCATGATGTCCCCAATGTCGCGGGCACGGCGCGGGCGCTGGCCCAGGGCCGCCGGCTGCGCCAGGAGCTGCAGGAGGTCGGGGACGGCGCCGCGGCCACCGCGCGGCACGTGGCCGTGCTGAGGGCGCGCCTCAGGTGGGGACGGGACCGGGACCCCCGGACACCCTAGAGACACCCTAGAGACCCCATACAACCCTATAGACACCCTACAGACCCTATAGAACCCTATATACCCTATGGACACCCTATAGACCCTATGGACCCTATAGAACCCTATAGACCCTACGGAAACCCTATAGAACCCCTAGAGAAACCCTATAGACCCTATGGACACCCTATAGACCCTATAGACCCCATACAACCCTATAGACCCTACGGAAACCCTATAGACCCTATAGACACCATACAACCCTATAGACACCCTATAGAACCCTATAGACACCCTACAGACCCTACAGACCCCATTCAACCCTATAGACCCTACGGAAACCCTATAAACACCCTATAGACACCCTATAGACACCCTATAGACCCTATAGACCCTATGGGCACCCTATAGACCCTATAGACACCATACAACCCTATAGACCCTATGGAAGCCCTATAGACCCTATAGACACCATACAATCCTATAGACACCCTAGAGAAATCCTATAGACACCATACAACCCTATAGACCCTACGGAAACCCTATAGACACCATAGAACCACTACAGAACCCTATAGACCCTATAGAACCCTACGGAAACCCTAGACAACCCCTGGAACCCCTAGAGAAACCCTACAGACCCTATAGAACCCTATGGAAACCCTATGGAACCCCTATAGACACTATAGAACCCTATAGACCCTATGGGAACCCTAGAGAAACCTAGAGAAACCCTACAGAATCCTATAGAACCCCTAGAGAAACCCTATAGAACCCTATGGAAACAAACCCTACAGAACCCTGTAGAACCCCTATGGACCCTATGGACCCCACAGACCCCATAGAGCTCTGGGCCCCTATGGGAAGGGAGGGTCTATGGGGCGTGTGGGGCTAATGGGATATCGGGGTCCCTATGGGGTATTGGGGTCCCTATGGGGTATCGGGGTCCCTATGGGGTTTATGGGATCCTTATGGGGTCTGTGGGATCTCTATGGGGTCTATGGGGTCTGTGGGGTCTCTATGTGATATGGGGGTCCCTATGGGGTCCCTATGGCATATGGGGGTGTCTACAGGATATTGGGGTCTCTATGGGATACTGGGGTCCCTGTGGGGTTTATGGGGTCCCTATGGGGTTTATGGGGTCTATGGGCTGTCTGTGGGGTTCCCATGGGGATATTGGGGTCTCTGTGGGATACTGGGGTCCCTATGGGGTCTGTGGGGTCCCTGTGGGGTTTATGTGGTCTCTATGGGATATCGGGGTCCCTACGGGATATCGGGGTCCCCATGGGGTCTGTGGGGCCCCTGTGGGGTCTCTGGGGTCCCTGTGGGGTCAGTGGGACCCCTATGGGATATCAGGGTCCCTATGGGATATGGGGGTGTCTATGGGATATGGGGGTCTCTCTGGAATCTATGGGGTCTGTGGGGTGTCTGTAGGGTCCCCATGGGATATTGGGGTCTCTGTGGGATCTGTGGGGTCCCCATGGGATATGGGGCTGTCTATGGGGTTTATGGGGTCTCTGGGCTGTCTGTGGGGTCTCTATGGGATATCGGGGTCCCTATGGGGTCTGTGGGGTCCCTCTGGGGTTTACGGGGTCTCTATGGGATATGGGGGTCCCTATGGGCTCCATAAGGTTTATGGGGTGTCTGTGGGGTCTCCATGGGATATGGGGGTCTCTATGGGGCTTATGGGGTCTCTGGGCTGTCTGTGGGGTCCCTATGGGATATCGGGGTCCCTATGGGGTATCGGGGTCCCCATGGGGTCTGTGGGGTCCCTGTGGGGTTTATGGGGTCTGTATGAGGTTTATGAGGTTCCTATGGGATATGGGGGTCTCTATGGAAACCCGCCCGGACCCCAAACCCGCCCGGACCCCAAACCCCGCGGGGATTTGGGGCGGGGGTCCCAAAGCCATTAAAGCGCCTCGAGAGGGTCCCGGTGCCGAGGGGGACACGGGGGGACCCCAAAACCGGGGGGTCCCCGAAAGGGATTTGGGGTCGGGGGGGGTTTGGGGTCACCCCCGGACCCTTTTGGGGGTGCCGGATTTGGGGGGGGGCAGAAATCCCGGTCAGAGACCCCGAAGTGGGGGGGATCCCAAAAACAGCTGGGGGGAAACCCTAAAACCCCACAAAGGACCCCAAAATCAGCCCGGACACCCCAAAATGGCCCGGGACACCCCAAAATCAGCCGGGACACCCCAAAATCACCCCGGGACACCCCAAAATCCCCTCGGGACACCCCAAAATCAGCCGGGACACCCCAAAATCCCCCAAAATCCCCCAAAATTTCCCCAAATTCCCCCAAAAGCCGCCGCGGGGGGGCGCGCAACGCCCGCGGCGAGGGGCGGGGCTTGCATAGCTAATGAGGTGGGGGCGCGGCTCGTTCGACCAATCACGGCGCGGCATGCAAATGAGGGGCGCGGCCTCAGGGGGCGGGCGCCGTTCTCGCGCCCTCCGGGAGCTCTCGCGAGACTTCCGGGGAGGCCGCGGCGGCGGCGGGATGGGAGCGCCGAGGTGGGGCCGGGAAAGGGGAGAAAAGGGGGAAAAACGGGCAAAAACGGGCAAAACCCGGCGGGAAGCGGCGGGACGGGGCGCGCCCGGCCGCTGCGGGGGGCTGTCAGGCCGTGGGGCGGCGCGGAGCGCGGCAGGCCCTGCGTGAGGGGTGGGGGGGGCAGGGCCGCGCTGAGGGCCCGGCGGGGTTGGGGGTGAGGCCGAGGGGTCTGGGGGTGTCCCCGGGTCTGGGGGAGCCCCTGACGCCGCCGTACCCGCAGATGCCCCGGCACTGCTCCGCCGCCGGCTGCTGCACCCGCGACACCCGCGACACGCGCGGCAGAGGCATCTCCTTCCACCGGTGAGGGCCCGCAGCCACCGGGACACCCACCCCGACACCGGTGTCACCCCGCCTTGGCAACGGCCGGCACCGCTGTCACCCCCTGTCAGCAATGGGCTGGCCCAGGTGTCCCCCCCGCACTCAGCAATGGGCTGGCCCAGGTGTCCCCCCCTGTCAGCAATGGGCTGTCCCAGGTGTCACCCCCTCATTTGAGCAATGGGCTGTCCCAGGTGTCCCCCCCTGTCAGCAATGGGCTGGCCCAGGTGTCCCCCCCGCACTCAGCAATGGGCTGGCCCAGGTGTCCCCCCCTGTCAGCAATGGGCTGTCCCAGGTGTCACCCCCTCATTTGAGCAATGGGCTGTCCCAGGTGTCCCCCCCTGTCAGCAATGGGCTGTCCCAGGTGTGCCTGGGCTGTCCCAGGTGTGTCTGTCCCCCCCCGTGTGAGGGATGGTTCGGCCCTGTCCCCTGTACCGGGCCCGGCTGGGCCGTTCCATTCCCAGGCGCGCGGGGGGAGGAAGGTGCCGCCCTGCAGAAATTGGGGGGGGGGAACTGCGGCTCAGCTGTGTCACCTGTGTGTCACCTGTGTCACCTGTGTCACCTGTGTGTCACCTGTGTGTCACCTCTGTCACCTCTGTGCCACCTGTGTCACCTGTCACCTGTGCTACCTGTCACCTGTGCCACCTGTGTGTCACTTGTCACCTGTGCTGTCACCTCTGTCACCTCTGTGCCACCTGTCACCTGTGTCACCTGTTAACCCCAGTGTCCCCAGTGTCCCCAGTGTCCCATACCCCAGTGTCCCTGATGTCCCCAGTGTCGCTGTCCCCGTGTCCCCAGGCTGCAGTGCAGGGACAGCCCTGGCGGGTGCAGCCCCCAGTGTCCCCTCAGTGTCCCCTCAGTGTCCCCCCAGTGTCCCCTCAGTGTCCCCTCAGTGTCCCCATTGCTGTCCCCAGGCTGCCACAGCAGGATGACCCCCGCTGGGCACAGTCCCCGATGTCCCCCATGTCCCCATTGCTGTCCCCGATGTCCCCATGTCCCTGTCACTGTCCCAGTGTCCCCGTTGATGTCCCCAGTGTCACTGTCCCCAGGCTGCGTTGGTGGGACAACCCCTGGTGGGTGCAGTCCCCAGTGTCCCCGATGTCCCCATGTCCCCATTGCTGTCCCCACGCAATGTTCCCATGCAATGCCCCCAGTGTCCCAATGTCCCCTCAGTGTCCCAATGTCCCCTCAGTGTCCCCATTAATGTCCCCATTGGTGTCCCCAGGCTGCCGTGGTGGGACGATCCCCGGTGGGCGCAGTGGCTGCTGACCCCATACAATGTTCCCATGTCCCCTCAGTGTCCCCATGTCCCCGTTAATGTCCCCAATGTCCCCATTGATGTCCCCATGTCCCCGTTAATGTTCCCAGGCTGCCGCGGCGGGACAACCCGCGCCGGGCGCAGTGGCTGCTGACCCCATTGATGTCCCCATTGCTGTCCCCAGTGTCCCCATTGATGTCCCCATTGATGTCCCCAATGTCCCCATGTCCCCAGGCTGCCGCGGCGGGACGACCCGCGCCGGGCGCAGTGGCTGGAGAACAGCCGGCGGCGGGACCCGGCCGGGGGCGGGCGCTGGGACCCCAGCTCCAAATACATCTACTTCTGCTCGCAGCACTTCGAACAGTCCTGCTTCGAGCTCGTGGGCTACAGGTGAGCTCAGGTATAACTAGGGGTGCTCACAGGTGTGCTCAGGTGTGCTCAGGTGTGTGCAGGTGAGCTCCAAATACATCTACTTCTGCTCGCAGCACTTCGAACAGTCCTGCTTTGAGCTCGTGGGCTACAGGTGAGTGCAGGTGTGATAACGGGTGTGTGCAGGTGTGTGCAGGTGTGCATGGTCAGTGTACAGGTGTGTACAGGTGTGTACAGGTGTGTACAGGTGTGTGCAGGTGTGTACAGGTGTGTACAGGTGTGTGCAGGTGTGTGCAGGTGTGTAAGGTCAGTGTACAGGTGTGTGCAGGTGTGTACAGGTGTGTACAGGTGTGTGCAGGTGTGTAAGGTCAGTGTACAGGTGTGTGCAGGTGTGTACAGGTGTGTACAGGTGTGTGCAGGTGTGTAAGGTCAGTGTACAGGTGTGTACAGGTGTGTGCAGGTGTGTACAGGTGTGTACAGGTGTGTGCAGGTGTGTAAGGTCAGAGTACAGGTGTGTGCAGGTGTGCAAGGTAAGTGTACAGGTGTGTGCAGGTGTGTGCAGGTGTGTAAGGTCAGTGTACAGGTGTGCACAGTCAGTGTACAGGTGTGCTCAGGTGTGTGCAGGTGTGCACAGTCAGTGTACAGGTGTGTACAGGTGTGTCCAGGTGTGTGCAGGTGTGTGCAGGTGTGTAAGGTCAGTGTACAGGTGTGTCCTGGGAGTACAGGTGAGGGTACAGGTGAGCTGGGGGTCCAGGTGTGTCCTGGAGTGCGCTGCAGGTGAGATATTTTGAGGGTCTCTCCGAGGGTATTTTGGGGTCTCTCCTATGGTATTTTGGGGGTCTCTTCTATGGTATTTCAGGGTCTCTCCAGCGCTATTTTGGGGTCTCTCTGGGGCTAATTTCAGGGTCTCTCTGGGGATGCTTTGGGGGTCTCTTCTATGGTATTTCAGGGTCTCTCCAGCGCTATTTTGGGGTCTCTCTGGGGCTAATTTCAGGGTCTCTCTGGGGATGCTTTGGGGGTCTCTTCTATGGTATTTCAGGGTCTCTCCAGGGATATTTCTGGGGTCTCTCCAGGGGTATTTTGGGGTCTCTCCGGGGATATTTTGGGAGTCTCTTCTATGGTATTTCAGGGTCTCTCCAGCGCTATTTTGGGGTCTCTCTGGGGCTATTTTGGGGTCTCTCTGGCGATATTTCCGGAGTCTCTCTGGGGGTATTTGGGGGTCTCTCCGATGGTATTTTGGAGGCCTCCAGGGGTTTTTTGGGGTTTCTTTGGGGTTTTTGGGGGTCTCTCTGGGGCTATTTTGAGGGTCTCTCCGAGGGTATTTTGGGGTCTCTTCGATGGTATTTTGGGGTCTTTTCTATGGTATTTCAGGGTCTCGCCGGGGATATTTTGGGGGTCTCTCCGGGAGTATTTTGGGGTCTCTCCGGGGGTATTTCAGGGTCTCTCTGGGGATGTTTTGGGGGTCTCTCCGGAGCTCTTTTGAGGGTCTCTCTGGGGATGTTTTGGGGGTCTCTCCGGGGCTATTTTGGCGATCTCTCCGGGCTGACCGCCGTCCCTCTCCCCACAGACGTGACCCCCTCCCGGCCCCGCCGCCCCCCCCGCCGCCCTCGGACGTCTCCTGCTTCCCGCGGGACTCCAAAGACCCCGGCCCGCCCCCGGCCGGCGACCACGGCGGGGTCCCGGCGCTGCCCGGCCCCTCGGGCTCCATCCCAGAGACCCTCCTGGCGGCCACGGGCGACGACGTGGCCGCGACCACCACGCCGGCTCTGCCCGAGGGAGCCCCCCCGACCCCCGCCGGCCCCGCGGGACCCCCGGGACCGCCGTCGCCGTCGCTGTTCATGCTGCGGCTGCCGCCGCGGGCGGGCTCGTACATCCAGAGCGAGCACAGCTACCAGGTGGGCAGCGCGCTGCTCTGGAAGCGCCGCGCCGAGGCCGCGCTGGACGCGCTGGACAAGGCGCAGAGGCAGCTCCAGGCCGGCAAACGGCGCGAGCAGCGGCTGCGGCTGCGCCTGGCCGAGCTGCAGAGGGAGCGCAGGGCGGGCCCCGAGCCGCGGAGGAGCTCCAAGGAGCGCGCGGAGCTGCTCCGAGACGCCGCCGCTGCAGGAGGAGGAGGAGGGCGGTGAGGAGGTGGAGGAGCTGCGAGGCGCGGAGGTTTGTAAATAAAGGATTTTACCCTGCGGGTGCGGCTGGTGGAGCTGCGGGGGGGGGGGAACAGAGCGGGGTGAGCCGCGGAGGAGCTCCAAGGAGGCCCCGGAGCTGCGGCGGGTGGAGCTCTGAGGGAGGGGAGAGGGGTCTCCAAGCCGCGGAGGAGCTCCAAGGAGCGGCTGGAGCTGCGGCTGGTGGACTCCAGAGGGAGCGGAGCTCTAGGAGCCCGCGGAGCTGCGGCTGGTGGAGCTCCAGAGGGAGGGGAGAGCGGGCCCCAAGCCGCGGAGGAGCTCCAAGGAGAGTCCGAAGCTGCGGCTGGTGGAGCTCCAAAGGGAGCAGAGCTCCAGGAGCCCGCGGAGATGTGGGTGGTGGAGCTCCAGGGGGAGAGGAGAGGGGTCTCCAAGCTGCGGAGGAGCTCCAAAGAGCGGCTGGAGCTGCGGCTGGTGGAGCTCCAGAGGCAGAGGAGCTCCAGGGGACCGCCGTCGCCGTCGCTGTTCATGCTGCGGCTGCCGCCGCGGGCGGGCTCGTACATCCAGAGCGAGCACAGCTACCAGGTGGGCAGCGCGCTGCTCTGGAAGCGCCGCGCCGAGGCCGCGCTGGACGCGCTGGACAAGGCGCAGAGGCAGCTCCAGGCCGGCAAACGGCGCGAGCAGCGGCTGCGGCTGCGCCTGGCCGAGCTGCAGAGGGAGCGCAGGGCGGGCCCCGAGCCGCGGAGGAGCTCCAAGGAGCGCGCGGAGCTGCTCCGAGACGCCGCCGCTGCAGGAGGAGGAGGAGGGCGGTGAGGAGGTGGAGGAGCTGCGAGGCGCGGAGGTTTGTAAATAAAGGATTTTACCCTGCGGGTGCGGCTGGTGGAGCTGCGGGGGGTGGGGAACGGAGCGGGGTGAGCCGCGGAGGAGCTCCAAGGAGGAGGCCCCGGAGCTGCGGCGGGTGGAGCTCTGAGGGAGGGGAGAGGGGTCTCCAAGCCGCGGAGGAGCTCCAAGGAGCGGCTGGAGCTGCGGCTGGTGGACTCCAGAGGGAGCGGAGCTCTAGGAGCCCGCGGAGCTGCGGCTGGTGGAGCTCCAGAGGGAGGGGAGAGCGGGCCCCAAGCCGCGGAGGAGCTCCAAGGAGAGCCCGAAGCTGCGGCTGGTGGAGCTCTAAGGGAGAGGAGCTCTAGGAGCGCCCGAAGCTGTAGCGGGTGGAGCTCCAAGGGGAGGGGTCTCCAAGCCGCGGAGGAGCTCCAAGGAGCGTCCGGAGCTGCGGCTGGTGGAGCTCCAAAGGGAGCAGAGCTCCAGGAGCCCGCGGAGATGTGGGTGGGGGAGCTCCAGGGGGAGAGGAGAGGGGTCTCCAAGCTGCGGAGGAGCTCCAAAGAGCGGCTGGAGCTGCGGCTGGTGGAGCTCCAGAGGCAGAGGAGCTCCAGGAGCCCGCGGAGCTGCGGCTGGTGGAGCTCCAGGGGGAGAGGAGCTCCAAGGAGCCCACGGAGCTGCGGCGGGTGGAGCTCCAGGGGGAGAGGAGAGGGGTCTCCAAGCCGCGGAGGAGCTCCAAGGAGCGTCCGGAGCTGCGGCTGGTGGAGCTCCAGCGGGAGCGGAGCTCCGGGAGCCCGCGGAGCTGCCGCGGGTGGAGCTCCAGAGGGAGAACAGAGCGGGCCCCGAGCCGCGGAGGAGCTCCAAGGAGCGGCTGGAGCTGCGGCGGGTGGAGCTCCGGAGGGAGCGGAGCTCCAAGGAGCCCGCGGAGCTGCGGCTGGTGGAGCTCCAGGGGGAGAGGAGCTCCAAGGAGCCCACGGAGCTGCGGCGGGTGGAGCTCCGGAGGGAGCGGAGCTCCAAGGAGCCCGCGGAGCTGCGGCTGGTGGAGCTCCAGAGGGAGAACAGAGCGGGACCCCAGCTGCGGAGGAGCTCCAAGGAGCGGCTGGAGCTCCGGAGGGAACGGAGCTGCTCGGAGGTGCTGCGGGACGGGGGCGCTGGGGAGCTGGAGCAGCTCCGAGCTCGGAGCTTTGTAAATAAAGGGTTTCCAGTTTTCTGCCCGGGGTTTGTGGGGGTTTCTAGGGGGAATTTGGGGTCTCCAGGGGAAGTTTGTGGGGTCTGTAGGGGAAATTTTTGGGGGTTTTAGGGGAAATTCGGGGAAATTTGTGGGGGTTTTAGGGGAAATTTGGGGAAATTTGTGGGGTTTCTAGGGGAAATTTGTGGGGGAAATTTTTGGGGCTTGTAGGGAAATTTATGGGGATTTCTAGGGGAAATTTATGAGAATTTATGGGGGTTTCTAGGGGAAATTTGTGGGACTTCTAGGGGAAATTTGTGGGGTTCAAAGGAGAAGGATTAGGGAGAAATCGTTTGGGGAGGGGCTGGGATGGATTTAGGGTCAGGATTTCTGAGGAGCAGCGACATCACCCTGGGAATGGGGAGATTCCAGTGGGAAACTGGGAAAAAATTCCCAGTTTAGGGAATTAGGTGGGAAATTGGGGAGATTCCAGTGGGATGAGCAGCGACATCACCCTGGGAATGGGGAGATTCCAGTGGGAAACTGGGAAAAAATTCCCAGTTTAGGGAATTAGGTGGGAAACTGGGGAGGTTCCAGTGGGGTATTGGGAAGGAATTCCCAGTTTAGGGGTTTATTTGGGATATTGGGAAGGAATTCCTGGTTTAGGGAATTATTTGGGATATTGGGGAGATTTCAGTGGGATATTGGGAAAAAAATCCCAATTTAGGGAATGAGGTGGGAAATTGGGAAAATTTTGGGAAAATTTCCCCAAAAATGGGAATTAAAGGTTTAATTTCCACCACAGAGGTGCTAGGCCCGGCTAACACCAACTCCAAGGTGCCTGATTAGCCCCTAATTAACCTTTGCTAATTACCCCGAGGCCGTCAGCTCCCTGCGAAACTGCTACAACCCCAAAAAAGACCCAAATCCCCCAAATCCTTTGGCAGCCAAAAATGGGAATTAAAGGTTTAATTTCCACCAAGTCCAAGGTGCTCCAAACCTCCTCAAAGTGCCTGATTAGCCACTAATTAGTCTTTGCTAATTACCCTGGGGTCATCAGTGCTGTGGGGCCACTGTGGAGCCCCTGGAGGAGCCGCTACAATCCCAAAAAGACTCAAAAATGGGAATTAAGGGTTTAATTTCCACCAAGTCCAAGGTGCTCCACACCTCCCGAAGTGCCTGATTAGCCCTAATTAGTCTTTGCTAATTACCCTGGGGCCGCTGCGGAGCCCTTGGAGGAATCGAGCCGCTACAATCCCAAAAAACTCAAAAATGGGAATTACAGGTTTAATTTCCACCAAGTCCGAGGTGCTCCACACCTCCCGAAGTGCCTGATTAGCCCTAATTAGTCTTTGCTAATTACCCTGGGGCCGCTGCGGAGCCCCTGGAGGAATCGAGCCGCTACAATCCCAAAAAACTCAAAAATGGGAATTACAGGTTTAATTTCCACCAAGTCCGAGGTGCTCCAGACCTGCCCAAAGTGCCTGATTACCAACTAATTAATCTTTGCTAATTACCCTGGGGTCGTCAGCGCTCCAGGGCCACTGCGGAGCCCCTGGAGGAACCGGAGCCCCCTGGAGGAGCTGCTACAATCCCAAAAAACTCAAAAATGGGAATTACGGGTTTAATTTCCACCAAGTCTGAGGTGCTCCTTACTCCCCACAGTTCCTGATTAGCCATTAATTAGCCTTTGCTAATTACCCTGGGGTCATCACTCCTCCAGGGCCACTGCGGAGCCCCTGGAGGAACCGGAGCCCCCTGGAGGAGCTGCTACAATCCCAAAAAACTCAAAAATGGGAATTACGGGTTTAATTTCCACCAAGTCTGAGGTGCTCCTTACTCCCCACAGTTCCTGATTAGCCATTAATTAGCCTTTGCTAATTACCCTGGGGTCATCACTCCTCCAGGGCCACTGCGGAGCCCCTGGAGGAGCCGCTACAATCCCAAAAAGACTCAAAAATGGGAATTACGGATTTAATTTCCACCAAGTCCAAGTCCTTACTCCCCAAATTTCCTGATTAGCCATTAATTAGTCTGTGCTAATTACCGCGGGCCACTGCGGAGCCCCTGGAGGAATCGAGCCGCTACAATCCCAAAAAGACTCAAAAATGGGAATTAAGGGTTTAATTTCCACCAATTCCAAGGTGCTCCAAACCTCCCCAAAGTTCCTGATTAGCCATTAATTAGTCTTTGCTAATTACCCTGGGGTCGCTGCGGAGCCCTGGAGGAACCGGAGCCCCTGGAGGAGCCGCTACAATCCCAAAAAGACTCAAAAATGGGAATTACGGATTTAATTTCCACCAAGTCCAAGTCCTTACTCCCCAAAGTTCCTGATTAGCCATTAATTAGCCTGTGCTAATTACCGCGGGCGCTAGAGCGCGATCCTGCCGCGCTGGATGTCCTGGAAGGCGGCGGCGCTCAGCGGCACGTAGGAGCGGCGCGCGGCGTCGCGCAGGAAGAGGCGGTCGCGCACGAGGCCGGGGTCGAAGCCCTCCTTGACCAGGTTGCTCTTGCACTGCTTGAAGGTGCCCGTGATCTCCAGCGCCTCCTGGGGACGGGGACGGGCACAGGGCACGGCGGCGTTGGCAGCGCCCAGGCAGGCCGTGCCAAGGTGCCAGCCGGGGACGCGGAACGGCGGCGGTGACGCGGGGATTGGGGCGTGTGGGGTGACTTGGGCGTGGGGGACCCCCGTTGGCATCAAGTGACCCTCGTTGGGACATGGTGACCACCATTGGCACAGGGTGACCACCATTGGGACATGTTGATCATGATTGGCACCAGGTGACCACCATTGGGACATGGTGACCACCATTGGCACCAGGTGACCCCCATTGGCACAAGGTGACCCTTGTTGGGACAAGATGACCCTCATTGGCACCAGGTGACCACCATTGGCACAGAGTGACCCCCGTTGGCACCAGGTGACTCTCGCTGGCACCAGGTGACTACCATTGGGACATGGTGACCCCCATTGGCACCAAGATGACCCTCATTGGCACCAGGTGACCACCATTGGCACAGAGTGACCCCCGTTGGCACCAGGTGACCACCACTGGGACATGGTGACCACCATTGGCACCTGGTGACCACCACTGGGACATGGTGACTACCACTGGGACATGGTGACCACCACTGGCACAAGGTGACCCCTGTTGGCACCAGGTGACCCTCGTTGGGACATGGTGACCACCATTGGCACCTGGTGACCACCACTGGGACATGGTGACTACCACTGGGACATGGTGACCACCACTGGCACAAGGTGACCCCTGTTGGCACCAGGTGACCCTCGTTGGGACATGGTGACCACCATTGGCACCTGGTGACCACCACTGGGACATGGTGACTACCACTGGGACATGGTGACCACCACTGGCACAAGGTGACCCCTGTTGGCACCAGGTGACCCTCGTTGGGACATGGTGACCACCATTGGCACAGGGTGACCCCCAATGGCACCAGGTGATCATGATTGGCACCAGCTGACCCTCGTTGGGACATGGTGACCCCCATTGGGACAGGCTGACCCCCGCTGGCACAAGGTGACCCTTGTTGGCACAAGATGACCCTCATTGGCACCAGGTGACCCCCATTGGCACCAGGTGACCACCACTGGGACATGGTGACAACCATTGGGACAGAGTGACCCCCGTTGGCGCCACGTGACCCTTGTTGGCACTAGGTGACCTTCATTGGCACTAGGTGATCACCATTGGCACCAGGTGACCCTCATTGGCACCAGGTGACCCTCATTGGCACCAGGTGACCCCCATTGGCACAGGGTGACCCCCGTTGGCACAGGGTGACCATTGTTGGCATGGGGTGACCCCCATTGGCACCAGGTGATCATGATTGGCACCAGGTGACCTTCCTTGGCACAGGGTGGCCACCACTGGGACATGGTGACCCTCATTGGCACCAGGTGATCACCACTGGTGTCAGGTGACCCTTCTTGGCATGGGGTGACTCCCACTGGCACCAGGTGACTCCCACTGGCACAGGGTGACCCTCGCTGGCACAAGGTGACCCTCGTTGGCACAAGGTGACTTTCACTGGCACCAGGTGACCACCATTGGCACAGGGTGACTGCCATTGGCACCAGGTGACCCCCCATTGGCAGGGGGTGACCCCTGTTGGCACCAGGTGACCCCTGTTGGCACAGGGTGACCGCCACTATCATGGGAAAGGGGCAACCTCAACACCCTCATCGGAGCGATGCCGTCATCGGCACAGGGTGACACTGAGTGACCGTCACCGGGAATGGACGGGTCAGGAATGGTGCCACCAGGAATGGTGCCACCAACAAGGGGGTGACTCCCCCACGCTGTCACCAGGGCACCCCCAGCGCCGCTACTGGCACGGGGTGACCGATGCCACCGTGGGAAACCGGGGGGACGCCAGTGCTGTGACTGGAAGTGGAGGAGCCCTGAAGACCCCTCCAACCCAAACCCTTCCATGATGGAACTGGAGGAGCTCTGAGGACCCCTCCAACCCAAACCTTCCATGATTCCACCTGGCCATGGCCAGATCTGGGTGAACTCTAAAGTCCCCTCCAACCCAAACCATTCCATGATTCCATCTTGCCATGAGTGCAACTGGAGGAGCTCTGAAGACCCCTCCAAGCCAAACCATTCCATGATTCCACCTGGCCATGGCCAGATCTGGGTGAACTCTAAAGTCCCCTCCAACCCAAACCCTTCCATGACTCCACCTGGCTGTGATGGAACTGGATGAGCTCTGAGGACTCCAACCCAAACCATTCCATGATGGAACTGGAGGAGCTCTGAAGACCCCTCCAAGCCAAACCATTCCATGATTCCACCTGGCCATGGCCAGATCTGGATAAACTCTTAACTGCTCTTCCAACCCAAACCACTCCACGATTCCACCCTGCCATGATGGAACTGGAGGAGCTCTGAAGTCTTCTCCAACCCAAACCATTCCATGATTCCACCCTTCCATGATGGAACTGGAAGAGCTCTGAAGACCCCTCCAACCCAAATCTTTCCATGATGGAACTGGAGGAGCTCTGAGGAACCCTCCAACCCAAACCCTTCCATGATTCCTGCCAGGATGGAACTGGATAAACTCTAAAGTCCCCTCCAACCCAAACCATTCCATGATTCCACCCTTCCATGACTGCAACTGGAGGAGCTCTGAAAACCCCTCCAAGCCAAACCCTTCCATGATTCCACCTGGCCATGGCCAGATCTGGGTGAACTCTAAAGTCCCCTCCAACCCAAACCCTTCCATGATGGAACTGGAGGAGCTCTGAAGTCTTCTCCAACCCAAACCATTCCATGATTCCACCCTTCCATGACTGCAACTGGAGGAGCTCTGAAAACCCCTCCAAGCCAAACCCTTCCATGATTCCACCTGGCCATGGCCAGATCTGGATAAACTCTTAACGCCTCTTCCAACCCAAACCATTCCATGATTCCACCCTTCCATGACTGCAACTGGAGGAGCCCTGAAGTCCCCTCCAACCCAAACCCTTCCATGATTCCACCTGGCCATGGCCAGATCTGGATAAACTCTTAACTCCTCTTCCGACCCAAACCACTCCATGATTCCATCTTGCCGTGACTGCAACTGGAGGAGCCCTGAAGTCCCCTCCAACCCAAACCATTCCATGATTCCACCTGGCCATGATGGAACTGGAGGAGATCCAGTGCCTCTTCCAACCCAAACCCTTCCATGATTCCACCCTGCCATGATGGAACTGGAGGACCTCCAGTGCCTCTCCCAACCCAAACCCTTCCATGATTCCACCTGGCCTCCAGTGCTGGACCATCTCCATCCCAAGGCCAGCCCCCCTCCCCGCAGCCCCCAGGAGCCCCCGGGGCGGGGGTCCCGCTGACCTGGATGCGGATGAAGCGGGGGGCGGCGTAGGCGGGCAGCGTGTCCTGCGTGAAGGCGTAGAGTTTGTCACCGTCGAAGGTGGCCCCGTCCTTGAGGCGCACGGCGGCCATGCCACAGCGGCCCTCGCACCCTGCCAACATCGCCCGGGGTCACCTGGGGCAACCTTGGGATCTTCTTGAAGCCCCCTGGGCTACTGGGGGTGGGATTGGGTGGCCAAACGTGTTTTGAGTGGGTTTGTCCTGGTTTTGGCACTGCGGAGGCCGCTGGGGTGGTGGTGGAGGAACATTCTGTGCCCAGAACCATGCTGGGTGCTCATTTTGGGTGAACACTCCCTATTTTTGCCTCTTTTGTGGCCACATGGACCCAACCCAGCACCTGACACTCGCTTTGGGCAACCAAGTCCCATTTCCACCATTTTGGGGGAACTTTGGGCCGTTGTGGGGGATGTTTTGTGCTCAAAACAACTCTGGGTGTTAAAAGCCCCTTTTGAAGCTTCTTGGTGGTGCCTCAGAGCACCTGGGGACGCCTCAGCCACCTCACACTCCCCCAGGTCCTTATCTTGGCGGCACTCACCCGGCACGGCCACGCCGTAGACGTTGACCTCCTGGATGAAGCTCACCAAGCCCAGCGTGGCCTCCACCTCCGTCGTGGCCACGTTCTCCCCTTTCCACCTGGGGAGGAGAAGGCACGGAGCCCTGAGCGGGGATTTGGGCCGGCACCGACCGCTCGGACACGCGGGAGCGCCGGAGTTACCGGAAGGTGTCCCCGACGCGGTCCTGGAAGTAGATGAACCTCTGGCTGTCCATCATGAGGAGGTCGCCGCTGTTGAAGAAGGCGTCGCCTTTGGCCAAGACGTCCCTGAGGATCTTCTTCTCGGTCTTCTGCGAGTCGCCGGCGTAGCCGTGGAACGGGGTGTTCTTGGTGATCTTCATCACCAGCAGCCCCGTCTCACCTTCGGGGAGGAAGAGGAGGCTTGGAGGCTGCACAGCCCCTGCCGTGGCTTCTTCCAGGGGTTCCTGGTGGCTTCCAGACGCCAGGAGGGTGGTGGCCAGGGCTGCGAGGTGGCTTTGGTGCATCTCCAGCCCCCGAGAGGGCCCTTACCGGGTTTGGTGGGGATGCAGAGCCCGCGCTCGTCGCGCACGGGCTCGTCCTGCTCCACGTTGTACCTGATGAGCTCGAAGGGCGCGAAGAGCTGCAGGGGAGGGACAAAGCTGGGCTAGAAACAGGCAGGAGGATTTCCTTCCCGGGGAAATTTCCAGAATTTCCTTCCCGTGGAAATTTCCTTTCTGTGGAAATTTCCAGAATTTCCTTCCCGTGGAGATTTCCAGCATTTCCTTCCCATGGAAATTTCCTTTCTGTGGAAATTTCCAGAATTTCCTTCCCATGGAGATTTCCAGAATTTCCTTCCCGTGGAAATTTCATTCATGTGGAAATTGCCAGAATTTCCTTCGGGTGGAAATTTCTAGAATTTCCTTCCCGTGGAAATGTCCAGAATCTCCTTCTCGTGGAAATTTCCAGAATTTCCTTCCCGTGGAAATTTCATTCATGTGGAAATTGCCAGAATTTCCTTCCGGTGGAAATTTCTAGAATTTCCTTCCTGTGGAAATTTCCTTCTTGTGGAAATTTCCAGAATTTTCTTCAGTGGAAATTCCCAGCATTTCCTTCAGTGGAAATTTCCAGAATTTCCTTCCGGTGGAAATTTCTAGAATTTCCTTCCTGTGGAAATTTCCTTCTTGTGGAAATTTCCAGAATTTTCTTCAGTGGAAATTCCCAGCATTTCTTTCCTGTGGAAATTTCCAGAATTTCCTTCTCTTGGAAATTTCCAGAATTTCCCTCCTGTGGAAATTTCCTTCTCGTGGAAATGTCCAGAATTTCTTTCTCATGGAAATTGCCAGAATTTCCTTTCCATGGAAATTTCCTTCCTGTGGAAATTTCTAGAATTTCCTTCTCATGGAAATATCCAGAATTTCCTTCTCATGGAAATTTCCTTCTTGTGGAAATTTCCAGAATTTCCTCCCTGTTCCGGCTGTGGTCTGCTGTGATTGGTCTCTTCCAACCCATGGGAACACCCCCAATCCCGACATTCTGGGCATTAAAACCATTTGGTTTTAATTGTCCTTAATTTACATTTTTTTCGTTGAAATCACTAAAAATAAATGTGATTTTAAGTTATTTAAATAAGGTTCAATCTGATCCATGCTAACGGTGAATGAACTCATGGTGGCATCTTCCAAATGCAGGAGCTGGGGGATGACACGATGGGAAAAAAGGGGGGAAAATCTGATTTTCGCAGCTTTTGTTCCGTCCAAGCTTTTGCTCAAAAATCTGATTTTCGCAGCTTTTTCTCACAGGTGGGTCGGGGCTGAGACGTGGCACCAAAGGGCCACAGAGATGACCAGGTCCCCATGGACACCCCAAAATCAGGCTGCACGTCAACACTGTTGAGTCAATGTTGGCCAATCAGGTGGAGGAGACTCATTTTGGGTGTGGAAAGGGCATTTTGGGGACTCTGCTGTTGTCCAGCCCAACCTGACGGGTGCTGTTGGCTTCCCCTGGAGATGTCACTGTTTGCTCCACCACCAAGAGGTTCCTCCAAGGTTTAACCCTTCCTTGGCTGAACCCCAGCTGAGGAGCCACACTGGGCCCCTCAAGGTGCCGCTGCTGTCCCCACGTCCCACCCCGAGGAGGACGTTCTGTTCTCACCTTGATGAACCGGTTGGCCCTGCCCACGGCGCCGACCTTGCCGGTGTAGTTGATGAAGCCGGCGTTGCCCTCGGTGGCTCCGTAGAACTCCCAGACGGCCACGGGCCCGAAGCGCCGCAGGAACTCCTTCCACACCTCGGCCCTCAGGCCGTTGCCCAGGGCCATGCGCACGCCGTGCTCCCGGTCATCGGCGCGCTGGGGGTGACACGGGGACAGGGCCACCTTGGGGTGTGACCGGAGCGTGGCCGACCCCTCGGGAGGGGGTTTGGGGTGGGCGGGGCCTCACCTGGGGCGTGTTGCACAGGTAGCGCATGAGCTCGCCCACGTACTGGATGACGGAGACGTTGTAGCGGCGGCAGTCGGGCCAGAACTGAGAGGCCGAGAACTTGGACCGCAGGACACAGGTGGCTCCTGGGGACACGGCACGGGGACGGTGACCCCGAGGCTGGCCAGGTGGACCTGCCATGGTCAGGGCTGGAGAAAACCCCCCCAGACCCCTCCAAGCTGCCCATGTGGGTACAGCCAGGACACACCTGGGCCAGTTGGACCTGCCATAGTCAGGGCTGCAGGAAGCCCCCAAGCCCCTCCAAGCTGCCCATGTGTGGACACGTCTGGGACACACCTGGGCCAGGTGGACCACGATGGTCAGGGCTGGAGGAAGACCCCCAAGCCCCTCCAAGCTGCCCATGTGTGGACACGTCTGGGACACACCTGGGCCAGGTGGACCACGATGGTCAGGGCTGGAGGAAGACCCCCCAAGACCCCTCCAATGTTGATCCACCTGCATAGACATGACAAGGACACACCTGGCCCAGGTGGACCTGTGATGGTCAGTGTTGCAGGAAGTCCTCCAAGAGCCCTCCAAGCTGCCCATGTATGGACACAGCTGGGACACACCTGGCCCAGGTGGACCCACCATGGTCAGGGCTGGAAGAAGATCTCCCAAGGTCCCTTCCATCAGCACTGACCCATCCTCATAGACATGGCCAGGACACACCTGGGCCAGGTGGACCTGCCATGGTCAGGGCTGCAGGAAGCCCCCAAGCCCCTCCAAGCTGCCCATGCTGACCTGTCCATGTGGACATGGCTGGGACACACCTGGCCCAGGTGGACCTGAGATGGTCATGGCTGGGGAAAGACCTCCCAGGACCCCTCCAGTGCTGACCTGCCTGTGTGGACACCTGGCCCAGGTGGACCCACAATGGTCAGGGATGGAGGAAGCCCCCCAAGACCCCTCCAATGTTGATCCACCTGCAGAGATATGGCCAGGACACATCTGGCCCTGGTGGACCTGTGATGGTCAGCATTGCAGGAAGTCCCCCAAGACCCCTCCAAGCTGCACATGTGGGCACAACAGAGACGAACCTGGCCCAGGTGGACCCGCCATGGTCAGGGATGGAGGAAGACCCCCCCAAGACCCCTCCAATGTTGACCCACCCACATGGACACAGCCGGAATCACACCTGGCCCAGGAGAATCCACCATGGTCAGCATTGCAGAAAGACCCCCAAGAGCCCTCCAAGCTGCCCATGCTGACCTGTCCATGTGGACACAGCCAGGACACACCTGGCCCAGGTGGACCTGTGATGGTCAATGTTGCAGGAAGTCCCCCAAGAGCCCTCCAAGCTGCACATGTGGGCACAGCTGGGACGCACCTGGGCCAGGTGGACCCACCATGGTCCAGGCTGGAGGAAGATCCCCCAAGGTCCCTTCCATCAATGCTGACTCACCCACATGGACACAGCCAGGACACACCTGGCCCAGGTGGACCCACCGTGGTCAGTGTTGCAGAAAGACCTGCCATGTTCAATGTTCCAGAAAGACCCCCAAGACCCCTCCACGCTGCCCATGTGGGCACAGCCAGGACACACCTGGCCCAGGTGGACCCGCCATGGTCAGGGCTGGAAGAAGATCTCCCAAAGTCCCTTCCATCAGTGCTGACCCATCCTCATAGACATGGCAGGACACACCTGGCCCAGGTGGACCCGCCATGGTCAGGGCTGGAAGAAGATCTCCCAAAGTCCCTTCCATCAGTGCTGACCCATCCTCATAGACATGGCAGGACACACCTGGCCCAGGTGGACCCGCCATGGTCAGGGCTGGAAGAAGCCCCCCAAGCCCCCCACCCCTCTCCAGGATCTCCTCCCACAGCTCCCGGCGGTGCCCAGCTCACCGGTGGTGCCCGAGGTGTAGATGTACATGGCCCTGGAGCTGGCGGTGACGCCGGCGCGGTGCTCGGCGGGCGGCGGCTCCTCGGGCGCCGCCTCGATGGCGGGCAGCAGCGCCTCCACGCCCGGCGTGGGCGACGCCGCGCTCATGTAGAACACGGCCACGCCGGCGCGCCGCAGCTCGGGCAGAACCTCCTCCACGGCCTCGCGGAGCTCTGCGGGACAGACGGACACGGGGTGACCCTACAGGGGCACTGGGCCAGGTGGGCACACCTGGAAGGGGTGGGCGGGCCGAGGTTCCCAGGTGGGCACCTCAAGGTACCCCCAAATGGGCACCTGCTCAGGTGGGCACACCCGGAGTGGGTGGGCGGTCCGAGGTTCCCAGGTGGGCACCTCAAGGTACCCCCAAATGGGCACCTGGACAGGTGGGCACACCTGGAAGGGGTAGGCGGGCCGAGGTTCCCAGGTGGGCACTCCAAGGTACTCCAGGTGGGCACATGCTCAGGTGGGCACACCCAGAATGGGTGGGCGGGTCAAGGTTCCCAGGTGGGCACTGTAAGGTACCCCAAGTGGGCACCTGGTCAGGTGGGCACACCCAGAATGGGTGGGCGGGTCACCCAGACACCCCGAGCACCCCAAAAGGGGGTCCCAGCCAGCCAGGCCCCTCTGGGATCCTAAACGGGGTCACCCCAAAGGGAGCCCCGATCCCGTGGGTGCACCTGGGGGTGACACAGAGGGACAGCCCTGTACAGGCTGTGACACACAGTGACACAGGGACAGCCATGTCCAGCCTGTGACACACAGGGACACAAGGACACACCCAGGGACACACAGGGACAGCCCTGTACATGCTGTGACACGCAGGGACACGCCCAGGGACAGTGACACACACAGGGACACATGGGGACAGCCATGTCCAGGCTGTGACACACAGTGACACACACAGGGACACGCCCAGGGACAGTGACACACACAGGGACACACCCAGGGACACCCAGGGACATCCCTGTACAGGCTGTGACACGCAGGGACACACCCAGGGACAGCCCTGTACAGGCTGTGACACACAGTGACACACACACACAGAGGGACAGTGACACTCAGTGACGCACAGTGACACACACCCAGGGACAGTGACACACACAGGGACACACGGGGACAGCCATGTCCAGGCTGTGACACACAGTGACACAGGGACACACCCAGGGGCACACGGGGACAGCCCTGTACATGCTGTGACACACCCAGGGACAGTGACACACACAGGGACACACGGGGACAGCCATGTCCAGGCTGACACACAGGGACACACACAGGGACAGTGACATCCATGGAGGGACAGTGACACACACACACAGAGGGACAGTGACACTCAGTGACACACAGTGACACACACACAGGGACAGTGACACACCTGCAAATCCCCCCATTCCACATGCACTCACCGGGGCTGGCACAGACCAGGGTGGCCTTGGTGGCCACAACCCCCTCAAGTCCCCAAAACCCCCAAACCCTCTCCTGTCCCCTCTCACCAGGGCTGGCAAGCACCTTGGTGGCCTTGGTGGCCACCAAGCCCCCCCAACACTGCACTGTCCCCTCTCACCAGGGCTGGCAAGCACCATGGTGGCCTTGGTGGCCACCAAGCCCCCCCAACACTGCACTGTCCCCTCTCACCAGGGCTGGCATACACCTTGGTGGCCTTGGTGGCCACCAAGCCCCCCAAAAACCATGCTGTCCCCTCTCACCAGGGCTGGCAAACATCATGGTGGCTTTGGTGGCCACCAAGCCCCCCAACACTGCGCTGTCCCTTCTCACCAACGCTGGCACAGACCACGGTGGAGCAGCACAGTGGCCTTGGTGGCCACCAACCCCCTGAACACCCCAGTGTCCCCTCTCACCAGCGCTGGCAAGCACCATGGTGGCCACCAAGCCCCCCAAAAACCACGCTGTCCCCTCTCACCAGGGCTGGCAAGCACCAGGGTGGCCTTGGTGGCCACAACCCCCTCAAGTCCCCAAAACCCCCAAACCCTGTCCTGTCCCCTCTCACCAGGGCTGGCCAGCAGCACAGTGGCCTTGGTGGCCACCAAGCCCCCCAAAAACCACGCTGTCCCCTCTCACCAGGGCTGGCCAGCAGCACGGTGGCCTCGGCCGCCTCCAGCGCGTGCCGCAGCGCCCGGCCCCTGACGTTGCAGTTGAGACAAGCCATGGGGCAGCCCAGCTTGGCCAAGGCCAGCCACGTCCACAGGTAGGCCGGCTCGTTGGGCAGGAACACGGCCACGGTGCGGCCGCCGCGCAGGCCCAGCCGCCGCCACAGCGCCCACGCGGCGCGGTTGCTGCGGCGCTCGACGTCCTCGAAGGTGTAGACCTCGTCCTGGAAGAGCAGCAGCGGCCGGCGCGGCCGGAGCCGGGCGTGCTGCCGGAACACGTCCAGCAGGGTGGTGGCCGGCCGGCCGGCCAGGCGCCGGCGGCAGCGCAGCGATGACCGCGCCATGGTGGCGAAGAACGCCAGGTCCTCGCGCAGGAATGGCACCCAGCGGGCTGCGGCCAGCGGAACCAGCACCAGCAGCACGGCCAGCAGGGCCACCAGGGCCGGCAGCACCGCCATGGCCAGCAGCGCACCGCGGCCGGTGGCCAAGGTCCGCCGGGCGACCTTTGGGCCGCAGTGGCGGTGGTGCCGGGGTCCGGAGGTCGCCGCTCTTTGGTTCGTGCTCTCTGTTTGCTTTCCTTCCTTCTCGCCGATTGTTTTCTTCCCTCGCCCTTCCCCGCCCCCGGGAGTGGCTCCGCGGGCGGGCGGCTGCCACGGCCCGGTGGCTGTGCCCGCCCGGCCATCTGTCTGTCCGGCTGGCTGGCTGTGCCCGCCCGGCCGTCTGTCTGTCCAGCTGTCCGGCTGTCCAGCCTCGCCCGGCCATCTGTCTGTCCGGCTGGCTGGCTGTGCCCGCCCGGCCGTCTGTCTGTCCGGCTGGCTGGCTGTGCCCGCCCGGCCATCTGTCTGTCCGGCTGGCTGGCTGTGCCCGCCCGGCCGTCTGTCTGTCCGGCTGGCTGGCTGTGCCCGCCCGGCCGTCTGTCTGTCCGGCTGGCTGGCTGTGCCCGCCCGGCCATCTGTCTGTCCGGCTGGCTGGCTGTCCGGCTGTCCAGCCGTCCACCCTCTGCCAGCCTGGCTGTCCTTCTGTCTAGACTCTGCCAGCCTGGCTGTCCATCTGTCCGGCCTCTGTCCGGCTATCCAGCCTCTGTCAGCTGTCCGTTTGTCCAGCCTGGCTGTCCCTCTGTCCGGCCTCTGTCTGTCTGTCCGGCCTGGCTGTCTGGCTATCCAGCCTCTGTCAGCTGTCTGTCTGTCTGTCTGTCCTCTGTCCGGCCATCCAGCATGTGCCACTGCATCTGTCCATCTGTCCGGGGTCTGCCCGTCTGTCCGGCCTCTGCCAGCCTGGCTGTCCGTCTGGGACACCCCGGGGACACCCTGGGGACACCTCCGGGGCACCCTGGGGACACCCCGAAGCAGGGACACCTCTGAAGCAGGGACACCCTGGGGACACCCCTGAAGCAGGGACACCTCGGGGACACCTCAGGGACAACCCCAAAGCAGGGACACCCCGGGGACACCCCGGGAACACCGCCAAAGCAGGGGCACCGCGGGGACACCTCGAAGCAGGGACACCCCGGGGACGTTTCGGTGACACCCCGGAGACACCCCGGGGACACCCCAGGCCGGGGGTTGGGCGGCGCAGCCCGCAAAAGGAGGCGCAGGTCCCACCGAGATTCGAACTCGGATCGCTGGATTCAGAGTCCAGAGTGCTCACCATTACACCATGGGACCGCCCGGGACGCTCCGCGCCGCTCCCTCCGCCAGGAAAAAGAGACCGCGGGCCGCCCCTGCGGGAGGGGGCGCGGAGACCCCCGGAGCGGGCTGGGAAAAGAGGAAAAGGGGGAAAAAGTGAAAAAAAGGGGGAAAAAAAAGAGAAAAAAGGGGGAAAAGTGAAAGAAAAGAAGAAAAGGGGAGTCGCCCGAACAGGGACTTGAACCCTGGACCCTCAGATTAAAAGTCTGATGCTCTACCGACTGAGCTATCCGGGCTCTGCAGGGCCGAGCCGCGGGCCGCCGGGAAGGGCGATCGGGGGGAAAATCTGAGAATTTTGGGGCGAATTCTGAGGATTTGGGGAAAAATCGGGGGATTTGGGGGAAAAAACTTCGTGGTTTTCGGGAGAAACGCGAGGATTTGAGAAAAAAATCGAGCTGTTTTTGGGGGAAAACCGTGGGGTTTTGGAGAAAGAGAGGAGGATTTGGGGAAAAAATCGAGAGGTTGCAGGGAAAAACCCGAGGTTTTAGGAAAAAAATACCAGCTGTTTTTGGGGGAAAACCGTGGGGTTTTGGAGAAAGAGAGGAGGATTTGGGGGAAAAAATCGAGAGGTTGCAAGGAAAAACCCGAGGTTTTAGGGAAAAAATACATCGAGGTTTCGGGCAAAACCCGAGGTTTTGGGCAAAACTATAGATTTTAATGGGAAATCAGGAGGATTTGGGGAAAAAAATCGACAGATTGTAGGGAAAAACCCGAGCATTTAGGGAAAAAAAAAAACAAACAAAACAAACAAACAAACAAAAAAAACCCCAAAAACCTCGAGGTTTTCGGGCAAAACCTGAGGTTTTGGGCAAAACCACGAGATTTTAATGGGAAATCAGGAGAATTTGGGGAAAAATCCGAGGTTCTGGGGGGACACTCGAGGTTTTGGAGAAAAACCCGAGGTTTTCGGGAAAAAAAAAACCCGAGATGTTAGAGAAAAACTCGAGGTTTTGGAGAAAAACCCGAGATTTTAGGGAGAAACCCGAGGTTTTCGGAAAAAAAAAAAACCCGATATTTTAGAGAAAAACTGGAGGTTTTGGAGAAAAACCCGAGGTTTTAGGGCGAAACCCGAGGTTTTCGGGAATATTTTTTTCCTTTTGGGGCAGGGAGGCGGCAGAGTTCGGCGGAGCTGCCCCAGACAGAGAACGGAATGTGGAATCGGAGATTTTTTTGCTCGAATTTAACCGCAGACGTCCTCAGCTTTCTCCCCAAACGCATTTCCGTGCAGGGGAATAGGGAAATGACTCGATTTGGGTTTTTCCCAAAAAAACCCGAGAGCTGTTTGTTGCCTTCCTGCTCCCCGAGGGAGGGATTTCCGGGGTTTGCTTCAAAATAATTTTTTTACTATTGCTACTACTATTATTAATAATAATAACAATAATTATGATAATAATAACAACCATAATAATAATAATTTTAAATAGGTATATTAAAATAAAATATAATATATAATAATAGAGCAATATATCCCCCCTCATATTTCCCAACATTTTCTCCCCTCATGCTTCCCACTATTTTCACCCTCTTATTTCTCATTTTTTTACCTAATTTTCCACCTCTTTCCCCCTTCTTATTTCCCATTTTTCCCCTCACGGTTCCAATTTTTTTAATAATATATAAATATACTAGAATAAATGATAAATAGCATTATTATTATTATTATTATTATTATTATTATTATTATTAATTATTATTATTACTATTATATCCCCACAAGGACCATTGGTGCACAGGCCCTTGCCAGAGGCCGCTTAGCACGGACTGCTCACATTTCCCAACATTTTCACCCTCTTATTTCTCTTTTTTTACCTCATGCTTCCTGTTATTTTCACCCTCACATTTCCTGAAATTTTCACCCTCATGTTTTCCACCATTTTCACCCTCTTATTTCTCTTTTTTTACCTCGCATTTTCCACCCTTTCCCCCCCTCACATTTCCTGACATTTTCACTCTCACATTTCCCATTTTTTATCTCCTGTTTTCCACCCCTTTTCCCCCCTCACTATTCCCAGCATTTTCTCCCCTCACGCTTCCCTCCATTTTCACCCTCTTATTTCCCATTTTTACCTCACGTTTTCTGGCCTTTCCCCCCCTCACTTTTCCCACTATTTTCACACTCTTGTCCCATTTTCACTCTCACATTTCCCATTTTTTATCTCCTGTTTTCCACCCCTTTTCCCCCCTCACTATTCCCAGCATTTTCTCCCCTCATGCTTCCCTCCATTTTCACCCTCTTATTTCTCTTTTTTTACCTCATGCTTCCTGTTATTTTCCCCCTCACATTTCCTGAAATTTTCACCCTCATGTTTTCCACCATTTTCCCCCTCTTATTTCTCTTTTTTTACCTCATGCTTCCTGTTATTTTCCCCCTCACATTTCCTGAAATTTTCACCCTCATGTGTTCCACCATTTTCACCCTCTTATTTCCCATTTTTACCTCACGTTTTCTGGCCTTTTCCCCCCTCACTTTTCCCACTATTTTCACACTCTTGTCATTTTATACCTCTTGTTTCCACCCTCTTTCCCCTTCACAATTCCTGACATTTCCACCCTCACATTTCCCATTTTTCACCTCACATTTTCCACCCTTTTCCCCCCTCACTTTTCCCACTATTTTCACACTCTTGTCATTTTATACCTCATATTTCCACTATCTTTCCCCTTCACGTTTCCCATTTTTTACCTCATATCTTCCACGCTCCTTCCCCTTTACATTTCCTGCCATTTTCACCCTCACATTTCCTGAAATTTTCACCCTCATTTTTCCCACCATTTTCACCCTCTTATTTCCCATTTTTTACCTCACATTTTCAACCCTTTTCCACACTCACATTTCCTGCCATTTTCACCCTCACATTTCCTGTTTTTTACCTCACATTTTCCACCCTTTCCCCCCTCATATTTCCCAACATTTTCTCCCCTCATGTTTCCCATTTTTTACCTCACATTTTCCACCCTTTTCCACACTCACATTTCCTGACATTTTCACTCTCATATTTCCCGGTTTTTACCTCACATTTTACACCCTTTCCCTCCTCACATTTCGCAACATTTTCTCCCCTCATGCTTCCCTCCATTTTAACCCTCTTATTTCCCTTTTATTACCTCACGTTTTCTGGCCTTTTCCCGCCTCACTTTTCCCTCACTATTTTCACACTCTTCTTATTTTATATCTCTTGTTTTCCACCCTCTTTCCATTTTCACCCTCTTATTTCCCATTTTTTACCTCACATTTTCCACCCTTTTCCACACTCACATTTCCTGACATTTTCACTCTCATATTTCCCGGTTTTTACCTCACATTTTACACCCTTTCCCTCCTCACATTTCGCAACATTTTCTCCCCTCATGCTTTCCTCCATGTTCACCCTCTTGTTTCCCATTTTTACCTCACGTTTTCTGGCCTTTTCCCCCCTCACTTTTCCCACTATTTTCACATTCTTGTCATTTTATACCTCATATTTCCACTATCTTTCCCCTTCAGGTTTCCCATTTTTTACCTCATATTTTCTACCCTCTTTCCCCTTCACATTTCCTGCCATTTTCACCCTCACATTTCCTGTTTTTTACCTCACATTTTCCACCCTTTCCCCCCTCATATTTCCCAACATTTTCTCCCCTCATGCTTCCCTCCATTTTAACCCTCTTATTTCCCTTTTATTACCTCACGTTTTCTGGCCTTTTCCCGCCTCACTTTTCCCTCACTATTTTCACACTCTTGTCATTTTATATCTCTTGTTTTCCACCCTCTTTCCCCCTCATGTTTCCCATTTTCTTACTTCACATTTTCCACCCTTTTTTCCCTCATGTATCAGTTCCTTCTTCCCTCACATTTCCGCTCTTTTCTCCCCTCATGTTTCCCGCCCTTTTCTCCCCTCATGTTTCCCGCTCTTTTTCCT